AACAACGGAGCCAGTTCCCCAGCCAGTGGATGATGGTGGACCCAAGCCCACAGTTGGCCAGTTTTGCGGAAAGGTGATCATGGGATACCAGATTGAAGGCTTTTTTAAAGTTGAGATGTATGACATCAATCTCCTCCCCCTTGTCCAGGTGATAGGTCACCTGGTCGTAAAAGGAAATGAGATTGGTTGAGCATGACCTACCCGCAACAAACCCGTGCTGGCTATCCCTCAGGGTGTTGCCATCAGCCAGTCCGTTAAGAATGGCCTCCTTGATGATTTTTTTCTAAGACCTTCCCCAGGATAGAGGTCAGGCTGGTGGGCCTGTAGTTTGCTGGATCCACCTTCCTCCCTTTCTTGAAGATAGGCACCATTTTGGCCTTCTTCCAATCATTGGACACTTCACCAGAGCACCAGGAGCTCTTGAAGATCCATGCAAGGGGCTGAGCTATGATGCTAGCCAGCTCCTTGAGTACTCTGGGGTATAAATTGTCAGAGCTGGCTGACTTGAAGGTGTCCAGCCTCTCAAGCTGTTCCTTCACAAGGTCAGCATTGATGGAGGGCAAGGAACCACCCTCATTTAGGCATCCCTTTCTGTAATGCGTGTGGTAGAGTCACCATCTCCACTTTGACTTTTCAGGGTCCTCAAAAAGTCCTACAAGCTACCCTAGAAGTCTCTTGTCAGGGAGATTATCCTGTTTCCCTTATCCATCCTCTCCATCCTCAGTCCTTTCCCCTCCTTTTTCATGTCCACTCTGGTTCTTCCCAATCGACTAACCTTCCTCAGCTCCGCAGTGAAAAGCTCACCACACAGTGCAGTGCTCCAACTGGCCTCTGAATGAGCAGCAGTCATCTGTACCACCAGCCACATATTGGACTCTGCCACCAGTTGCCTAGCATGCAGTGCATTTCCCCCTGCCTCTGCCTTACACTCAAAGCTGTTCTCTTCTAATGCCAAACCTGCTATTGTGAGAGCTGTTTTCTCATTCAGAACTGCTAGTTGGGGAGGAAGGCAAGAGAAAGGGGGCCAAGCCTGCTTTCAACCCCATCCTCATGCCTGGACCCTGCTTGGTTTGGTTGTTGCTATGTTCCCATAATGGTCCACCATAGCCGTACCTCTTATGGCACCTCTGTCATTGCCCCAAGTCCTATGACTACTAGTGCTGTGCCATTCTGTCTTCCCCAGTGTCTCCTCTTCCCCAGCTTTTCCACATTCCTGGGCTTTATGAAGCCCACTCTCTATGCTTGTTCCCTGGTTTATTCATTGCTACCAGAAGAATTTTAGTGAAAGGGTTGGCAACCTTTGGCCACTACAGGCCACTTTTTGTGACCTGGCCCCCACTATGGGCTGTAATCTCCACCCTCTGGAGTAGCCCTGTCTGGGCTTGCCCTCAACACTGATCTCCATCCCTTCTGCAGTGAGGGCAACTATAGATACAGCACAGAGCAGAAGACTGCTGCAGAAGAGAGTGCTGCAAAGCAGATGGGTGGAATAGTGCAGCTCCATGCCATTACTCCCCCATGCCATATCACACCTTTGCAGGCCAAATTGGGTCTCTTCATGGGATCTAATACATGGTCCATAGATTGCCAACCCCTGCTGTAGTGCACCAGCTGCAAAACTCCCTGTTGCATGACAGGATCTCTAGAAAAGCTGCCACTTATGTGGGCTTGGGAGATGGGCCATTTTTCCCCAGCTGTAGCTGTTCTGTACCATCCTCAAATGCTGTTTTTCCTCCCATTTATGTAATTCCATTAGCATGAGCACTCCTAGTTCCTCCACCTAGGCACCTCTCTTCATCTTCTCAGCTTGAATCTGAGCCTTGCAGAGGAAATATCCTCTGATTTGATATTTCCTGAAGATCCTATGAATCTTCTGGAGTGACAGAGCAGCCATGAGGGCTTCTAACTCTATGGCCCTGTTGCCTCTCTTATCCAGGTTCTCTGAGCAGTAGTGTAGGGTGTACATTACTGTAGGAAATTGGTTGTGATTTGTCTGGCTCTCACCACTACTCTTCATAGTATAAGGGGGTCTAAGGTGAATCTAAATTAACCCTGCTCTTCCCACTAGCATGGAGGGAAAGAATTAACATCAGAAGGGCTGCTGCTAATTGGGAGTGTGGAGGCTGATAAGTGGCCAGGAGCAGCCTACCTGCTCCTGGGCTCCAGGATACTGTAGAAATAGGGCCAGGTCCTCAGAAAGGAAGACACTAAATCAGGGAGAGTTTGGGCACAGGCTGGGGCCTGCTTATATCTAGACCTGACCTTTCGACTCCCAAAAGGTAAACGAGACCTTACTTGTAGGGCTATGCAAGGCTTTGGACCGTGCTTCGAATCCAGAGAAGCTTCGGATGCTTCGACATTCAAAGCAGTATGTCCAGATCTAAGTGCTGGCTTCGATAGGCTTTCCGAAGCGGTTCGGAGCTTCCAAAGCACTTTGGAAAAGCTTCAGAGCCACTTCGGAGATCCGGCCATAGGGTATAATGGGGAAATAATGAATTATCTATAATTTTGTTGTTTTTTGTTTGATGTAGATGAAAATTGCAGAGGTTGTAGTTTCTGCTGAGAGCATGAAGCCTGTCAGGTTTCAAGAAGTTCGGTGCAGGGGTTCAGGGGGAACTGCACCCCAAATTCTTGAAATCAAAACTCGTGTCCTGTCTACGTGTTACAACACAGTGGGTTGAAAACTGCAGGGATGGTAGCCCCTGGTGAGGCCACAAGGCCTGCCAAGTTTCAAGGAGATAAGTTCAGGGGTTTGGGGGGAATTGCACCTCAAGCTGCAGACAAGCAAAACTCATGACATGGGTGACACTGTGTGTGTTAAGGCACATCAGGGTGAAAGCTGCAGGAATGGTAGCCCCTGCTGAGGCCACGAAGCCTGCCAGCTGTCGAGGAGATAGGTGCAGGGGGGGTTCTGGGGCTCTGCACCTCTAGCTGCTGACAGGCAAAACTCATGAAATGGGTGCTTGTGCAGCTTTGTCTGTCCTGGGGGGGAGGGGAGGGGCAGGAGGCGACTACTGCAGGCCTGGCTGCTAAGCGACTGTGTTACCAGTTACCAATCAATCATGATTCACTCAGGGACCATGATTAACTCAGGGACCCAGGGACACAATAGCTAGCTAATGTAACCAGTTAATTAGCATCAATTAACACCTACAAAACCAGAGACTAAGGAGAGGAAGGAATCAATACAGACAATCAACTACCCCAGGACAGACACAGTCAGCTGCACAAACACCCATGTCATGAGTTTTGCCCGTCAGCAGCTAGAGGTGCAGGGCCACAGAACCCAGAAGCCCTGCACCCATCTCCTTGACAGCTGGCAGGCTTCGTGGCCTCAGCAGGGGCTACCATTCCTGCAGCTTTCACCCTGCTGTGCCTTAACACACACGGTGTCACCCAAATCACAAGTTTTGCTTGTCCGCAGCTTGAGGTGCAGTTTCCCCCAAACCCCTGCACTTATCTCCTTGAAACTTGGCAGGCTTTGACCTGAGCAGGGGCCACCATCCCTGCAGTTTTCAGCCCACTGTGCCTTAGCACACACAGGGTCATCTATGTCATGAGTTTTACCTGTCAGCAGCTTGAGGTGCAGTTCCCTGCAAGCTTCTGCACCTTTCAACTTGAAACTTGGCAGGCTTTGTGGCCTTACTAGGGGCTACTACCCCTGCGGTTTTCACCCCAGTGGTGTAACACACACATGTGACATGAGTTTTGCTTTCAAGAATTTGGCGTGCAGTTTCCCCCAAACCCCTGGACCGATCTTCTTGAAACTTGGCAGGCTTTGTGGCCTCACCAGGGGCTACCATCCCTGCATGTTTTATCCAAATCAGACAAAAAACAACAAAGTTATAGATATTTCATTGATTCCCCATGATACCCTATGGCCGGATCTCCGAGGTGGCTCTGAAGCTTCAGAGCCGCTTCGGCCAGATCGAAGCAGAAACCCGGTCCAGATCTCAGGATTGGATCCCTGGCATCTGAAGCGGCCGGATCCAAAGCCGGATTGAATAGCTGCCTACTTGCACAGGCCTACTTACTTGCACTTGAGAAACAAGGAGTATGCAGAACGAACTAGATCTGAGTCTATATGTAACATGGGTGTAAAGCAGTTTTATGTGACTTTTTAAGTACTGCTACATGTATTTCTATCTTCCTTTCTCCATCTTCTGCTTAAGTCACATTGGTCTACTAGGGAACAATCTGTTGACAGCAGGCAAACCACAAATTTAATAGAAAAAGCTGGATAATGCATGGTGCTCAGCTTACGTATGTGATGAGATGTGTGACCTCTAGGCATAGAACATCTCTTATATATTTTGAGGCCAAGACTAAATATTTGGTTTCCCTGTAGGTCAAGGGTAGATTAGCCTTCCTCAGCCTCAAGTTAAAGGAGCTTTTTGCCGCAGGGCTAGCAGAGTATCTTGGTCTGATTCATAGAACCACGCTTCTGATAGAGTTTCTCATACATCATTTGCAGCTGGCGATGACACATTAGGAATTTTCTGGTTTGCTTACTACAGCTAAACACAAAAGCTACAAATATTTCAAGAAAGCAAGTTCTAGCTTTCAGCCTGGCTTACCCTACAGCACTACCAGTAATTGGCTTTCAAACATACTGTACTGAGGGCTAGATCCACAAAAGGACTTGGCTGCAAGCATCTGATTCAGGTTGGTTCTACTGGCATATAAATAGGACTCATAGGTGCCTACATTCCTAAGAGAAATTCAAATGGGTCCTGGTACATTTAGAGCCTAAAATCATCAAGTACCTCAAATTTTGGACTGCAAAGTTCTCCAGGTATTGACTCTTGGGCTTCTGAGCATGCTCAAAATGGGGTCTGTTGGAACACCCAGGTACCTAACTGCTGCCTAAGCTCTGTTGTGATTCACTTTGGTGCTGGAAGGTACCAAAACTTTGCCTAAGTACCCAAAAAGACACAATGTTTTACATGTGTGCCAACCATGCCTTACATTGACAGAATTGAATTTTGGCTTTGTTGTAGTGGTGCCCAGGACCCAGTGGAACAGGAAGTGGGAGATTGAGGCTGAATCCAGACCTTCCACTTTGCAAGTGAGAGCTCTAACCCCTATTCTTTTATCTCCCAAAGGCATGTAGTCTATTTAGTTTAATGGCGCTATTATTTTCAAGGTTTCAACTGAAATTGCAGTGGAGCAGCATGTTTTAATGTAATGCTGCACAGAATTCTGAATGCTTATATTAGGAGCGGGATCAAAATGTGACTTCTGTTCATGTGAATTGTTAAACCGTGATTCACCCTGCTAGTCTGCAGTGGACACATTCTCACCAACAAAGTCTTTAGTTTTCATTAAAAAAAATGCCAATACTCACTGGATTTGGATCATCTACTTAGATCTCATATGCCATTGTTTACAGCTACAACCCCCTGCCAATATTTCTAGCTTAGCAAATATGCATGGGAGAGAACTGTCATTCTGTGGGAAGTTTGGAGCCATGGGGGGGTGTCTTAAATTCCATTCCAGACTTTGGACTGTTAACCACATCTCAACTACCCTCAATTTTGGAGGTACCAGTGTCAGAGACTTTGTATAGATGCTGATCCCATCACTTGTCAATGGTTCACTCCCTTTTTGGCTATTTAAACTGGCCTAGGTCACTCTGGCCTATACATTCACTCCCAAAGCATGATACAACTACATCACCCATTCTTAAAGTAGGTGATTTTTTTTGTTGAAAAAAAAGCTTTTCTGACAAAATTAATGTTTAAAATAATGTCTTTCCCATACAGACCTTAAACAGAGAATGAAAGTTGCCGCCAAAATTTCAGATTTTAACCAATGATTTACTTGCAGGGGACTGAAAGGGCCAGATTCCTGTCCACTTATTAGGAGTGTGAGTGGACTTATGTGCTTCAGTGCAATTCCATTCAATTCTGCTTTAGTCTCTAAAAACAGTTAATACAAAAGGTGGGTGGATCCCCCTCCTTCCTGCTTTTTGTGACTCCATCCTAAAATTGAGATGATGGTACATTACAAAAGTAGATTAATTCATGGATTTTCAGAGACTTGAGCAGGGTGGGATAGAATTGCACTGAAGCACCTAAACTCCAGTGAAATGGCCAGTAGGTGAAACAGTATTTGGCCCAAAATATTCATATTTATTTAAGATTAGAAAAAAAAGAGCACATGACTCTTCAGAGGTATTTCAAATACAGAAATCAGATTATAATAGCTTCACACAGATAATACCGCTCAGTTCCTTCCATGAAACTCAATGTGTTAACTTTAGAATTCATAGATAAATACTTTCACAATTTCAACTTTCTTATAGCTGCAGCTATGATCATTTGATTAAAAGCTATTCCATAGAAAGATGTCCTGCCCCTTTCACATTACTTTTCCCACTCTGAAGTTTGTTGATTTTTTCCCCCTCCTGAAATCCATGTTGTTTTCTACATTCAAAATATCAAGGCCTCCTCTGTTTCTCATCTCTGAATGTTTTTGGCAAGTTTTGGAGATTTTGAATAGTGATGTCATGCAAGGCTGTAACTTGATAAGGAATCTAAACCCCCATACAACAGAATACAGTATCAATAACTACTGATTGATAGGATTGGGAGACACTTCTCAATGACAAAATGATTTCAAATTGTCCACTCTGGATTGTTTGGGGGTTTTTTTTGCACCATGCTCTGAAGCATCTGGTAAAGCAAGGGTTCAGACTAAATGGACTTTGTTTCTGACAGAGTTTTCTTAGGGCCTGGTTCCACATTATGCAATGAATGGGAACCATCAGAAACCTCCTCACCTGCTGCTTCAAGTTCAAGGTGAACTTCTTGGTCTATATCAGAGGAGGCAGTCACAGAACAAGAGGTATTCACTGGAAAAACCAAACCCCTATGCTGTGCACATCATTTCCCCCCTTTGAGAAGAAATGAGGGGGAGAATGAATGATGCATGACAAATGTTTTATCACATGATGCCCCGCAGGAAGGTGTTCAGATATGGTGATGAAGACAGCATAAAAATCAATACGCAGCAGGACAGAAATGTGTATGATCTTATGCTCTTCCCCTCCCCGCACCGCTCCCCACTGACTGAAGGAGGAGGTGCTGAACTTTACTGTCTCCTGAGGTACAGCTGGAATGCTGTGACTCAGACAGTCTAGAAATGAGTGTCTCTTTCCACTCCTTGGGTTTGGGAAAGGTGAACTGCAGTTCCCATATAACCTTGTTCTTCCTGTTCTACGGATCTTTCCAGGGACCTTGACCTAAGAGAAAACTTGGAGTCACACCCAGTGTTTCTGTCATTTCAAATGGAAAATATAACCAAGATAGAAGGGAAAAAGGGTTTTGAGGCATCTTTATATCAAAACAAAATGGTTCAGCTATATAGATCAGCAAAGAGAGCCTTTAAATTCGAACATAAGTGCCATATTGGGTCAGACCAATGGTCCATCTAGCCCAGTGTTCTGCCCCTGACAGTGGTAGGGGTGGAGGCTATACAGGGAGAACATTGAACTGAATACCTCTAGAGTGATCTGTCCCCTATTGAATATCCTCCCTGGCACATTTGTTGGGTTAGAGATGTCAGAGAAAACATTTCCAGCCATTCTGTTAAATAACCATGAATAGATCTATCCAGTCCCTTTTTTGAACCTAGCTATACTATCTGTCTCCACCACCTCCTGTGGCAATGTATTCCATAAGTTAACTACATGTTGCATAAAAAAGAAAAAGGGTGCCCTTATGTTCAGAGGAAAGTGAATGATAATTGGCATATAGAAGACTATTTTAGGAGATGCCTAAAAATCCATCAAGAGAAGGACATTGGCAGTCCTATGAATTCAGGAATAACCCAGCCAAAACATCTAAGGCCAATCAATCCAGCCACCTCAGCCAAAAGAGCGATCAAAGGACTCCTAGCAGTGCAGTGAGTACACAGGTAACCCACCAGGCCAATTTGAGACAAAAAGCTGTAATTCAAGCTACAGTCCCATGGTAGGAGCATGGTTTGTGGCTTCTGCCACTGTTGCTTCTGAAGCCTATTGCAGTTGTCATGCAAATTGGCACAATATTTCTGGTTTGATCCTCACATGACATCACCATATCCTGGCAGCCAGCGATTCTCAAGTAAGTTGGTATGCTGCTCTGGATAAGGAGGAACTTCCAGAGAGATTCATTTTCTCTGACTGTCTTCCAGTTCTTTATCTAGCACCTGCTTAGACATGTGCTCATCATCCTTGTGTGCAATGTGGCCAGCTCAATGGAGCTATACCTTCATTATCAACACTTCACTGCTGCTTCACTGCTGTAACAACAGTCTTATCACAGCACCTCAGCCCTGGATACTCAGCAAATCATCTGACTGTCAGGAGAGAATGCAAGAAACATGGGTTAAGTTGGATGTGTTGCTTGTATAATATCCAGGTCTCACTCTCATAAAGCAAAGTAATAAGAACCAGAACCATATAAACCTTAATTTCTGTGGAAATATTGATAGCTTTAAAATAGCCTTAAAAATCACTCGGTCAGTTTGCCAAAAGCTGTGTTTGCTTCCAGGATGCGGAAAACAACTTCCTCATCAATATTAATTCAAACTGTCAACACGCTGGCCAACTGGTGGAACTCATGAGTCACAGAAAGTTGGTCTCCACCAGTGTGCAGTGTGGGTGGCACATCACTCTGGGTGGAACTGGCTGATAGATTACATTGGTCTTTAATTATGCTAACTGTGAGCCATGACTTGCCTGCAGCCCTTGCAAAGCAGACAGCACACTTGCAAGCTCTGTTCAGAATGGACAATTACTGCTAGTCATCTATACAGAACAATATGTGAGGCACCTGAGAAGTGAATTTTGGTCTTGCACACAAACCTGCATTTTATTATTTTGTTAAGGAAGTTTTTTTAAGTCTCAGATCAAATTAGCCAGATCAGCCAGATCAGTTCCAAATCCTTTGAATCATTCAAGAACCATATGTGGCTCATCTACCAGCAAGTATCCTCTACCCCAGAATTTACAGCCTAGGGCTTCATATACTTGCAATATTTTGGCAAGTATCCTATGTGCAGGCCTAAGCCCAGAAGCTTGGGGTTCAGATGTCCCCAGGTTTTGCTTGCCCTCAGCCATACGGCCACAGGAGCAAGCTAGGGAGGAATCTCCCGATCTCCCATTTCCACACAGTCAGTGTGCAGCCAAGATCTTCCCACTGGAAGCTGGCCAGTGGGAAGCTAACTATGAGGCTCTCGTAGGGAGTCCTGTCCACAAGCAGACAAGGATACACTCTTCACTACATTTTTTAATGATTTTTTTTTATTTTTAAGAAATTTTTTTTGTGTTCCAGGCCAAACCAGCCAGATCAATTCCAAATCCATGAGTCATACAAGAACTATATGTGGCCGTGCTACTGGCAAGTATCCTCCACCCCTGCCCAGAGCTTCAGATGCTTCCAAACCCTTTGGCGGGCGTCCTACATGCAGACCCATGCCCAGAGGCTTGTGATTTGGATGCCCCTGAGTTTTGCTTGCCCTCAACCACATGACTGCAGAAGCAAGCTAGGGAGGAGTCTCCCATTTCCATAAAGTAGGCATATTTATTGGCAGGGGGGAGTACCCTGACTGAGGTAATGCATAGATAGCCTCCCACTTTCACTTCCAGTGGGAAGATCTCAGCCATACTCTGACTTTATGCACCCTCCACTACATGCTTGGACAGTCTTCCAGAGGTGCAAAACGCTAGCAGCACATGCACCAGACTCGTGCCATGCACCTTCTCCACAAATGCTTCATAAAACAGATTGAGCAAAACAGGCCCATTGTATTGGTTTATTCCATCGCAGATGGGGAAAAACTCAGATAGGTCAGTGAAATCTTTACTCTGACTCATTTTCCTTCATGGAACCAACACAAGACCAGGAGTGAAGCTGCCCTGAAAGTGTCCTGGGCCCCTGCTGCTGTCAAACATGCTGCACAGAGATCTCAAGAGTATCAGAGTGTGTTTGGGGACTAAGTTGAGGGGAGGGGAAGCCTTCAAGTGGCTCTGCTGCCTCCCTTCCAGGGTTAGTGCATGCAAAGT